AGCAGTATTGAAGAATTATCCATCTTTTCCATAACCCCAAGATAACAGCTCTTTACTCCTGCAGCAGCCCTTTTTACTTACAGTTTACTCCCAACATTCTTCAGCTAGTGAGCTCTTCTTCCATTTTTGTCCTTAATTCATTCTATTCAACCATTTCTTCTTTCTGTTACAAATTCCTTTCCATCATAATACACGCACTCATCACGTCAACATGGGATTTACTTGTTTATGGCTTAACATGCTGTCAATCCAGCCGACAAAGTGTAAACATGGTTATTGTATAATGCAGTGTTGTCCAAACTTGGCCACTTTAAGATGAGTGGACTTCAACTCCCAGAATTCCCCACTCATCTTAAAGTGGCCAAGTTTGGACAACACTGGTATAATGTATCTTGCTTTTTCACTTTAGATTTCAAGCCTGTGAGAGAGGGCTGGTTTCTTAGGACATTCCCTGGCACTGAAGGAACTGTTTTTCACAAAAGCAATGCAGATGTCCAGTTTTTCCCAACAGCACACAACACTGCTGTCCAGTCCTATGCTTTCTGCTTTCCTTTCTCTTTGGGTCATCAGCTTGCAAAGACGTACTGGATGAAAATAGATTCCACAACGGTCTTTGAATGCAAGAAATGTATTTTGAATGTTCCATGGGGCCAGTAAAACCTGTCTGAATTCAGAAATCCATTTATAATATCTTGTCTGTAGAGAGGAACTAGACACCAGATCCACCACCCAGTCTAAAAATGCCTTTAGGGTTATTTCCCTGTCTATTTTAAATCTTTCAGCTTTTTGTGCTCGGAGCCTTAAACCCACTGTGGGAAAATACAGGAAATATATTAAATTGAAGCCACATGCATACAGAGGTCTCTTTTGAAATCATCTGACATGCACATAACACATAATGGAATACTGCTGAAGTCTTGGCAAGCTGCTATTCTGGACAATTTTATGTGTGCTTGTGCATCCAAGTTTGAGACAAAAGAGGGGTACCCCCACCATAAAATAAATTACTCCATCACATATTAGAAACACATGCACACAAACATCAGCAAGGCAGGATGAGCTCAATAAACTCAGGTTTTAGTGCAAAGCTTGGAAAAGAGATCGTTTAACTAGTTGCTGAAATCCCATGGTAGAATGGGGATGGGAGAATATTTCAAAGGTCAGGTGCTATCACTGAAAACTCCTTGTTTTTACTAAAGGGTATCTTTTCTATTGGAGGTAGGATCTCTCACCAGCTGTTGTAATTTCTTTGGCTCACTAGACACAAGCAAATACAATGACAAAAAGAAAAGAAAACAAAACAGAAAACCCAAACCCCAGACCTTTTTAGAAAGTTGGAATGGCGAAAACGTGGAGTTATTTTCCCAAAGATCATCATTCGTGACCATACTTACTGATAGGAAGTTTTCTCCAAACCTGTGAATTGGAGGAGAGAGGGGGTCAGCTTACATTCAGCTGTAAGAATAGAAACAACTGTTTGTTGTTGTTGTGTTAAGTGCAAATGACAACAGAGAGGCAATGCTCTTTAAGATCAGCTGACACTTGGGAGTTGTTTGCCTGGTGAATTTAACCCTGTGTATTACCAGAAACAAGGTTTCCTTTTTTTCTTTTCTGTCCTGCTTCCTATTGGGTCTGTTCCATCTAGTTTTGTTCTGTCTTTCACACTGCAGCTATCTCTTTCTTTTACCACTTCTCCATTCTATTTTTTTTATCTTCCCCCCCCTTTTTTTTTTGCTGTTTATGCTGAAAGGGGAAGGGAAATATATGTGTGTATACAGGTAGTCCCCAGTTTAAGAACAAGTTCTGTTCCCAAGGTCTGTCCTTATGTCGAATTTGTATGTAAGCAGAACAATATTATTGTATAATACTGTATAAGTAGTATGGTGTATTTAACTCAAATCATTGTGTATTTAAGTCAAATTTTGCTTCAATAGGCTTCGTTCTTAACTATGGGTCTGTAAACTTGGCGTTCTTAACCTGGGGACTGCCTGTATTTTGGTGTGCTTTTGTTTGTAAGGGTGATTTGCTATATGCAGATAAGGATCAATTAATTTTGTAAACAGGCTACTTTACAAGCAATTGATTTAAATTAGTAATTATTTAATCGATTAATAGAAAGAGCCAGTTTGGTGTAGTGGTTAAGGCACCAGGCTAGAAACTGGGAGACCCTGAGTTCTAGTCGTGCCTTAGGCACAAAGCCATCTGGGTGATCTTGGGCCAGTCGCTCTCTCTCAGCCCGAGGAAAGAGCCAATGGCAAACCACTTCTGAAAATCTTGCTAAGAAAACTGTAAAAAAACAAAAAAAAATCAATTAATATAATTTGATCCTGGCCTTGCCCTTCTTTTTGTGTGTAGTTTCTGGTAGATATGCAAGTATATGTATATATATACATACACATATCTAGGTATAATACATGCTTACATTTATGGAGGAAGGGAAATTGGTTTTATCCAGAATTGGGATTGCACAGGTTTTTTATTGTGTCTGCCATCTTAACCTTTTTGACCATGGACACCTTTGTTCACAGCTAAAGACAGCTGCAGTTCTGCCCTCTGTTCATCTACTCTTGACCACTGGGCAAGTAAAATCTTTTTGAATTTCTGACAAGAGCTACAATTGTTCAGACACAAATGACTATCGTTAGCTTCCTCATTCACAGGTTTCAATCCCAAATGCTTTTTGCTCTCACAGAAATGACTTTGTAACATCAAGGAAGTGATCTTGCAGCCCATTGCTCACTTGGTTGCCAATGCAAAACAAGGATACGTTCTACAAAAGCTGGGCCTTTTCTTTCTTTACAGAGCATCTACAATGACCTATGTGGATGGTTAGGCTGTTGGGGAAAAATTATGGGCTTGTAATTTTGTGGACTTATTTACTACATGACTTTAAGGATGTTTCCAGAGAGATGCCGTCATTATCTTAAATTTCTGTCTCTTCCTTTTAAACACTTTTTCCCTCTGACAAAGACATCATGGGAAATAATTGGAGAGATATCAATAAAAGGCATAGTTAGGATCACACAGAATTCCATGAATGAGAAAGGACAATTGAGCAATGAATGCCTTGGTTGGAATCCAGCTTAGAGTAAGGAATAAGGAAAGTGCAAACCTGTATCACCTCATGAGAGGTCCAGGATCCTCAGCCTTGGCTGACTAGATATGTCTCCCTTGGTTTAATTTGACTTGAAGTCTACTTTCCAAGGAAAGAATAGCATAGCCTTTTCTTATAGCTACACCAGAAAAGGATGAGTGTGTGAATAAAAACTGCAGAAAAAAAACCTAGTCTGAAATACTGTTCTTTTGTGTGAATGCACAAACTCACAAGCTTCAAAATAATAAACATTGGATACTTCCTAGGTTGACTTGACTTAGGGGGTAAGCAATGAGCTGGCCAAGTTTGTAGATGATAGTAAATTATTCAGGAAAGTGAAAGCCAAAAGTGATTGTGAAGAGCTCTAAAAGATCTCTTTAAACTCTTTACTCTTTAAAGTAATTAGTCAACCACTCTAGTGGTATGTGGGAATGACCTTGGGAGAGAGGGTGAAGAGCTGCAGACTGAACAACTGGCATGTAAAAGGTATCTCAGCCCACAGAAAGAGGGGATAGGTAGGAACCATTTCATAAGGGACCCTCCCCATTTTTCCAGAGAGTAAAAGGAAAGGAGGGGAGAAATACTTTCAGTCTTGCAAGGTTCTGTTAATGTAACTTTACAATACAGATAGAGTTAGTACTCATAGTTGTGCTTCTTGTCTGGACTACCTTGAAGGGCTAACATCCACATGGCAAATGTGATTAAAATTTAAAGCAATGCATCTTGGGGGAACCTCCCTAACTTCACATATACACTCATGGGGGTCTGACTGTAACAAACCAATCTTGGAGTTACAGTGGTAAGCTCAGTGAAGATACTAAATCAGCATGTGGCAACTCATCAAAGTGATCAGGGGCTCTGCCACCTTCTGAATGAGAAAAGTCTAGAAAGTCTGGGAATAAAGTGACTCAGGGGGACACAACTGAGATGTATAAAATCATAAATGGCATGAAGAAAGAGGACAGGAAGAAGTGCTCCGCCACCCCTCTCAAAACACTAGTACTGGGGCTCATTCTACAACGCTCACTAGCAGGAGATTTAGAACAAATGAAATAACTTCTTCACACCACACATTATTGATTTGTGGACCTCATTACCGGAAGAGATTATGGTGCTGCTAACTTGGATGGCTTTGAAAGGAATTGGATGAATTCATAGAGGACAGATTTATTAAAGGATATTTAATCTTGTGTTACCTCTGGATTGTGGGGGCAGCATGACTCCCACTATCCATTGCAAGGAAGCAAAAGGAAGAGAGGACTCCATCTCCATCTCCTACTTGGAAGCATCCAAGAAACATTTAATTTGTCCCTTTGAGAAATAAAATGCTAGACTAAGACAGCCTTTGGTATTACCCATCAAGCCTATTCTTATGTTCTTGGCCTTTGCAATTTTCCAAACGGAAAAGCAAATAGAAGTTGAGACTATTTAAAACTACACTGCCTATGTCATAAATTCATGCAGCACAGCGCAAAAGATTTTCTAATTGTATTCACTTACAATTTCCAGAGTTTATGCAAAAGCATATCACAAACCATACAGCTGTTTCTTCTCCAGCACATGCCTAGTAAATATTCTATTCGCATCTGGGTATAGTTATTTTTAAATTACTTAGGCAGTTAGACTCGGTGTGCATTACTAGCGATCCTACACTCAATAATGGATGCTGAGTTCGGGAACTCCTTTCAGGTTCTGTTCTCAGTCCTGTCGTCTTACTATTTCATAGTTCCTTCCACACATCTAATAATAAAAAAATAAATAAAAGGGAAAAAATCAGGACTTCCAGCTTAAAATCTTTCAAATACTTGTTAAAACAAATCAACCCACTTGTCCGCCGACATATATTATACTGTATCATATTTTGGAATTAACTTTTTTTTCCCCAAAGATTAAATCTTGAGCAATGAAGGAGTAGAATTATATTTTCAATGCAAGCTGCAAAGTTGCAAGAGAAGACTGCAATTACACACAAGCTAGACAACAGAATCCTACACCAAGCATCATTTACATCTGCCTTCCACATTCTATTGTCTTCCGGATGTACCAGCTACCGATCTCATAGAGAATTATGCAAGCTGCAAGTGAAGGATTTGCAGTCCCAACATATCTGGAAATATCTGGTTGTGCAAAGTCTGGACTAGGCGGTGGCAGGATTCCAATGAAACTATATTTTCCTTTTAGAAGTTGGATGCATTTGTGTACAATTTGCATGACTGAAAGTCTCTGTAGACAGGATTCAGGAAGAAAATGGAGAGAAATTGCAGTTCACAACCGCCGACCTATATTAAAAATGATGTTTCACATCGTCCTCAGTCTTTCATTTACTTCATACAAGCAAATTTCATATAAGGATATTGCTTGCATATATCATCAGATATAATCAGCATAATCATCTCTCTCTCTCTCTCTGTATCCAGGCTAATAAATGTTTCTAGATTTATTACATTGGCGATTATACAAAGTGACTTTTTCTCTATACATAAATGTAATATTTGTCAGAAATTACAATGTATGAAAAAGTATACATCAGTGAAACCCAAAGAAAGTGCTTTTGTTGCCTAATGCTTATTCAAGAATATAAAAATTAAATCTTTGCCTGGAAAGGAACTTAAGTTAGCACTATCCAGATCTGCACTGCAAAAATCTGAATGATCACAAGATGGCAGCAAACAGACACAGAAAATACTAATTTTTTGCTGCTATCCAGTGCTCATTCAGATGTTTGCTGTCTGGATCTGGCTGCTCTACTTAAGTTCTATAAAGGTTTGCAGTTCAGTGTAGAAATAACAGTTATTGTTAGCCCTAAATAAGTAAAAACCAATAGCAAAGTAGCAAATCTACCTAATGTCCTAATTTGATTAAGACACATTGTTTATAAACATCTGGTCCTCTTTTCTGAATGGCAGAGATCCACAACACTTGAAGTATATTCTCACAGCCAGACTGGGGAATAGAAATGAGTTTAACAACTACTGGCATTAAACAAGGGCTTCTTAACCCTTTGAGTCTGGAAAGCACCTTTGGGATTTGGGGAACATGTTAGTGTTCTTGTTCAATGGCTGCAGGCAAAGCACTGGGCTGCAGGAACCCATGTTTTCTCCAAGAAAGCTTACAAGCCCATTGAGGACCCAAGATAATAAGTTGATTTGCAGGATGCTTATTTTCTATTTTTTTTTTACTTTTTTTTTAGAATAAGAATTTTTTTTAGAATAAGGGAGGTACCAGTAGGCATGTTGGATACCCATAACGTTTCTTATTCCATAAATTATAGATTAAAAATTATTAATGTTAACAGAATTCAGAAACACCCATTTAGTCTGCCAGGCACTAAAGTAGCCTACAACAAAGTGCTACAACTTCTAATTTCACCTAAGTGATATAAATGTATGGCTAGAGTGAAATGACAAATCCTAGTTGGTCCCATTTTATACTACCCATGTTCAGTCCCTGGTTAATTTAGGTTCCTTGGCACTCATCCTTGTAATTTACCATTGGCACTTGAGAAACATCCACCAAAGTTTTATTGTTTAATGGTACCTGTTCTTCAACCAAAATTGTCCCTCAGCTACTCTTGGTATGAAAAGCTTTTGAGAATCCTTCCTGACTGATCTGCATTTGTTATATCTTTAACTTATGTTTAACAGAGACAGTATTACAGGCATATTTCTCTTAAGAAAGGTCATATAAAATATGTATCGAAAGATGAAATGTTAATGATTTTTTTTTGCAGAATTCTTCTAATGCACTGTTATTATTTTGAATATTTTAAAGGACGGATTTTACTAAAAACATTAGAATCCAGAATGTAATTCCTTCACGTCTTTAGAAAAACACCACTGCTAAATGAATGGACGTACCACTAAAACAAAAACCCCTTCCCAGAGAAAATGAGAGACCTTCAATAATATACCCCAAGCTTTGAATTTCACTTCTATATTTTGTGGTGCATTTCCAAGCTTTTCCTGCACAACCAAAGGCAAGAGAGGCTACACCACTTCCTAAGAAATGGAACACTCCAGTGTGGCCCGTGTTTGCTCTGCCGTTTTGAAAATGTCCTTGGAGTGGAGTTTCAGGAGTGGCCTGAAATCTTCCACCTAGATAAGATGGACAACAAGAACTGAGAAGCCGGACCCTAATGCTAATCCCACCTGCAGGAAGAGCACCATCAACACTCCTGCTGCCTCTGACAGTTCGTTAGGAGTGACTTTGGGACCGTATATAATTGATAAGGTACTCAGGTAGCCATTGCTGAGTCCCAGGAACACAATAAACACCACTGGATACACATCCTGGGCAAAGACTACTTTTGCAATGTGCATTCGAGGCTGATAGTTGCATAACATAAAGATGGGAATGAAAAAAGTTCTCAGCAGAGTCACAGTAGGTAGCCACTTGCTATGGGGTCCAGGAACCTGGATCCATGCAGTGATCTGCCGTCCACACCAGTCAGCAACATTATACAGAAGGAAACTAGTGAGAGGTATGAAGTATTTATCTGTCCACGGGCTCCCTGAGAACTTGTTCACAGACTCAATGCCGGATGAGATTGCAGGGAAAATGATGATAGAGATGAAGTAGACATAGAAGATGCAGAAACCTAACATGCCAATCTTCTTCAGGATGAGCCACAGAGGGGGGATTCTTCCAGTATAGTTGCTGGTTGGTGATTGCTGGCTGCTGCTACCTGATGCCATGTCCTGTTCCTCCAAGTCACTGCTAGGCAAAGGATTTGGTGGCCGTCTCCTGCTCTTCTGCCTTGTAATATGATACCTGAAAGAAGGGGGACAGGAAAATGCTGAACACTGCTTTGACAGATGCATTGCATGGACCTTAACCCATGAGAAAACACTGAATCTTCATCAAATTATAGAGGAGGTTTGACGCGCTCCCTATACCAGCTCAGAGAACCTTATTTTCTAACCTGGTCACCTCTAGGTGTGTGGAACTACAATTCAAATTAATACCTTCTTGGCCAAGCTCATTATGAATCATGGAACATGGAATTTATAACATCTGGAGAATAATGAATTGGGGAATAATCAAATTCAGTTGAGTTGCTCAGTTCAGTAAAAGAACATGAACTCATTATTCTCAAAATGACCAGGTGCTAGAAATCAGGCCAGGACAGGCCTAAGCTACTTAAAGAGCTGTCAACCATGTTACATAGCAAACAAGTCGACAGCAACAAGAAGGATAATTAAAAAAGAAAAAATTCATTCTTGAATCTAGCTCCAGTCCTGGTGATTGCATCCATATAGTTTTCTTGGCAGCACTGAGAAAGTAGTTTGAAATTCCTTTCAAGGTGTTTTTCCCCCCCACTTTCTAGTTCAACCCACAGCCCTTGAATTTTCAGTTGGTTCCTTATCAAAATATTAACTGGAGCTAACTGGGTTTAGCTTCCAAGATCAGTTAAGGATGGCTAGGTGCTTCTCCTTGTTCAGGGGAGAAGGACAATAGCCATTGTATAAATGCCAAATCCAGTTCTTCTAGAAGATTCAGAGAGACTGTGGTCTCAGAGTTTTAAGACTGGTAACCACACCTACCACCAGGAACTCAGTGAAACCAAAACTGGGGTTAGTCTTACATTGCTACTATAAACACACCAGATTGTATCTTTGGGTTTTCTTGCGGCAGGGGAGAAAAAGGAAAGAACACAACCTGTAATAAATCATGTGTTTTCATTCCAAAATTCCAATGATCAGCCTGGGGAGAAGAAACAGAAACAGAAGCAGCAGAGGTGCTGCAGAACAGTTTCCCTAGCTATAATAGGGGGGGCTTGCACAAAAAGGCAGTCTCATGATATCCCAAGCTAAATATTTTAGAGCTAAACTATTAAAAGTCTAGGCTGAATATTGACCTTACTGAACCAATGGTAGTTACCTGGAATATTCCAGCTTGAGAAGGATCAGATACATCACAACGCACAGAACGATGAAGATGTCCACTATCAAGAAGTAGGCCAGAGCACTGTTTGTGACTTCTGACGATGCTGCCAGATCCACCACTGATGCCAAAGCACTCACTGTTCCCCCCATGGCCTGACCTATACGATGAGGATATGGGGGCAAGGACGCAGAAACACAAATGTCAATAATGTGGAAATCAGCTCAAACCAATGCTGGGTTAGTCAGAGTGAAACATGTTGGATGAGGTCATTTTTAAGTTCATATAGATTTCTTGGTTGCTCATCAGCAGAATGGCAAGCATACTCATGTGCACAAATGAGACAGCTGTAGAATCTGAGCAATAAAAACATGAGTTGCTGTGCATATTTTTTTGACACAAGCAAATGTGTGTAGAGGGATTAAATATATCAAAAGGTAAGAGGGATTTATTTATCTATCACCAGAGCAGGGGAACTCCCTTGGTATAAAAAGCAAGCTGTGTTTGAAACTTGTGGGAATTTCAAAAATAACCTCTGAGGAGGCTCAAGAAAAGGATTTCTGAAAAAAGATGAGAACATTACTTTTCACGGACCATGATCATGGATTCTAGAGATTCTGTAGTTGAATCTCAGACTGTCAAAATCTTGAGGTTACCAGCCACATTTGGGCGATCATTTCATAAAGGCAAGTGATAGATAACCAAGAGTTCAAACCACTTTTTTGTGTAGAAAAATAGGTTAATTTTACCTCTATGGATCAAATATGTACAAGCAGAAATATCATCACTAATTAGGGTGGCCTTATGATAGTGTCCTTTGACCTCCCATTTTTGCCAGAAAGATGTTTAAGTACCCAATGCAAAGGTTTATTAGCAAATGCTGTGACTTTTTTTATAGTCATAATAAAATAAAGTTATGATAATGCATAATTAATTCATGCTGGAAGGCTTCCAAAAAGGGCTGTAGTGAAAACCTCCACCAGGGGTCAACCCTTAACAACATTTGTTGCTGCAGTCCAAAAACAAAAGTCAAAAATCTCAGTACTGATTTTTATCTCTTCCCTTCTCCCCCCGCCTTTTTTAAATTCTCAAATTGCGTTTCCAGTGTCATCCATCCCTGCTAAACCTCAAGGGGACTCATCATTCATAGCTGCAAACTTGGAACTCATCAGTTATGGAGATGAGCATTAATGTGAATATCAAACGAGACAATGCAAAGCTTCATTTTTTCCCCAAAATATAAACAAACATGGAGCTGAATGCAAATGTTCTGTATCTAAAAAGTTAGACTGCCCCAAAAGAAAAGCCATAAAATGAGAGAATAAGAATGAAGAAAAGGATGAACTCTTACATACATTTTCTTTCAGACTTCCTCTTCAGAGACACGGACAGCGATTTGAAAAGTCAGCTAGGTTAAAAATGTCACTGAGACTGAAATAATTGTCACATTATCACACACAGGCAAAATCTTCAATGTAACGTCACGGGTCCATGTTAACACAGCAGTGTCACGGGACATGGTACTGAAAGAATCCTACCAACCTGCAACAATAACCAATTTATTTAAGTATCCAAAAACAAAACAAAAAACCGAACCTGAAATCAGTGCCTGGGAATTCTGTATGGGAAAGCATCCTGACAGGCCAAAGACACTGCTGAAGAAGATGGTGGCGGCGCTGCTGAGGACCACCACGCAAACGATGGTGATTATAAAAAACCAGAGAGTCCAAGCAGAAGTGTCCACTTTGACCAGCACAGTGATCACCAGGAAGACAGCCAGCATGACAGCCAAGGAAGAGAGGATACGGACATTGGCAGAGACCCTGGAGAAGAAACAAAAGAATCAGTATGGAGTCTCTTCACAAGCGCCCCTAAGGTTTCTTTCCAGTCCTTTGCTTTAAAAGAGCCAATTTATATATCATGCGGAAGAAAAATGAATATAAATATTTATTAAAGAACTGCAGCATCTTAACCCTTAATGATGAGCATCTCTAACCAAGAATTGCTTGGTTCCAGTTCTACTATCCAGTCTGAACATCTCTTTCTCATTGAAGTGCTCTGTGCACTTGAGGAGCTTACAGAAGTGTTGAGTGTTGAGCTATTAAGTTTTTTGCCATGGGAAAGAAGCACGATAGAAAGGAAAGGTTTCTTGAATAAGGCTCAATATAGTAGGACAAAGAGGCTAGAAATTAGATGCTGAGATAAACTGCACACAGATTTTCTCTAACATGCATAATTAAGAAATACCATACGACTGAATGCAGTCTTTGTACTGCAAATTAAATGTTCTTTTCTACAAATTAAAAATTCTTAACTTCTATTTATGACTGCTTTTCCTGATGAAAATTTTCCAAACACTTAAAGGAAGCTACATAGCTAGAAAGAGGAAATCCCTGATGCAAAGTTCGATATTTGGGATAGACCATTTTGGGTACTGCAGTGTCAACAGTGAATTTGGGGAAAAATGGACAGGGAGGAAAAAGAAAGGAATGAAAGAAGTGAAAGTGAAAGTAGAATGACCATACGAGGAAGAAAAATATGAGTCCTATCTGGAAAATGTTTAGAACAGAACTTTGGTTTATGTGGTTTATATCTATCAATATTTACTATATTAGAAATTAAAATTGAGAAATGTTAAAATACTTATTTATTTGACTTTGTGGACCCCTGAAGGAGTCTTGGGGACCCACAGAGGTCCCCAGACCATACTTTGAAAACTGCTGGTTTAGAAGATAAATTAAATTTTCAAGAGAGTGAATGGAAAGTAGATGTAAGGAAAAAGGATGTGGAAGATATTTGGAGCAAAGTAAAAATAATTATTTTATACAGTGACACAGATGTGTATGAAATTGAGCGAATGGAAAATATAAAAAATGATGGAATGATGGTGGTTGAGTAAAATTCATATAAGAAAATATATCTCTCACTTGCTGAGGAACAGTGAAGGATACAGTTAAGTGCATATAAAGAAAAATAGATAGTTGCAAAGAATGTAGTTAAAAAGAGCAAAAATTGGTTAAGATTAAAAGAAAGAGGATGCAAAAGAACGTTGAGGAAAATAACAGTTTTTTGGGGAAGTGGATGAAGGAATGTGAATGCAATAAAAAAAGAAAACTAGTATTTGGGATGAAACTGAAGTGAAGGAATGTCGGAAGAAGTATTGTAGTGTGGGAATGATAGTGATAAATTGAAGGATGGAATTGAAATAGGTGTTATTAATGTTAGCGTTCAGGAAAAAGATGGTGAAAAGAAAGCCATAAATGCTTGAGAATGTTGAAAAATGGTAAGGTTGCAAGCGTAGATAGTGTAACTAGAAAAATGTTAAAAGGGAGGGAGTGGGTTGTTTATGGAGTGGCTGTGTGAAAGTTGCATCTGTGCCTGACGAGTGGAATAATGCTGTGATTGTTCCCTGGTACAAAGATAAAGATAGCAAGAGAGAATGCAAAAACTACAGGGGGGAGAGCTTGTCATGTGTGCCTCAAAAGTGTTTGGCAAAATTCTGACTGTAAGGGGGTAAGAGCTGTCTTTGAGCAAAATGTCAGTCTTGGTGCACATTTTTGACTTTTAGCAGGACCTTGACAAATGTACAAAGTTTATTGCACCCTTGTGCCCAAGAGAGGACCTATGAATACACTTAAATTATGGAATGTTTTGCTTCAATATGGAGTACAAAGTTAGTTGTAGAAATGGTACCTGGTGAGGTAAAGTGTTGGGGAGAATAAATGGAATACTTAGCAAATAGTTCAGGGCTGAGCACTAAATAAAGGCAGGGATGTATTTATTTATTTATTTGATTTCTATCCTGCCTTATGTACAGGAGTCAGAACTCATGGTGGCGTACCTAGTGCTCCCTCCTTTTGTTCTCCACAACAACTATCCTGTGAGGTAGATTGGGCCAAGAGAGAATGATAGCCCAAAGTCATTCAGTGAGTTTCTGTGGGTGAGGAAGGACTAGAATCCAGATCTCCCTACTCCTTGTCTAACATCTTAACCACTACAACACCCTGGCTCTTAGTTCCTGCTTCATTTTGAACCATCAGCCTCTTACACACAGTCAACAGTTTTACTCAATGTACAATTTGACCACCCTTGGTGGATGTTCCCTTGGTGGTTTGATGTATTTATAGGTACATGTATAGGGAATGCTTGTGGTGACATTAGAGATGTGTTGGCTGGGGACAGGACCAGAGATATACTTTTGTATACAGAAGATGCTGTGTTGTTAGCTGAGAACCCAAAAGGTTGGCCAGGAATATTAGATAAACTACAAATGTACCAAAGAGTAAGGATCTGAAAATTAATGTATCCAGTACCAAAGTAGTTGTGTTTCACAGGGAAGGTGGAGTGAACGACTGCAAGTTATACATCAGTGGTGAAAAACTATAGTAAGTAAATGAATTTGTACAGCTTGGTAGAATGCTTACTAAACAGGAGAAAAAAGATGGAGACATCTTAAGGTGTGCAAATCCTTCTCATGTTTTGCATAAAGTTGCCTTCCCCCAAAAAGGATTCGTGTGACAGGATAAATGTAATATAATGCACATTTTCAGGAGTGGAGAAACAATCACAAAGAACCCATAACAAAAAAGCAGAAGAGCCCTGGAGAAAAACAAATAACCCAAGTATTTTACGGCCACCAGATAATTAGCTATTTCAGCAGGAAAGTTACTTTTTAAAATTTCTTATTTATTTATTTAAACAGGAAAGTTATAGTCACCTTTTAAAAACTTACTTTTTACCAGTTACTTTTAAAATTTATTTATTTATTTAAACCGGAAAGTGTAAGTACAGCAGCCTTAACTGTGCTTCCTTCAAGTGAGAGGGCTAGGAAAGAGAAAAGGTGGAAAGTGATCAAGATTTTGCAAAGAGAAGATAATCGATTTAGCCTTCAGGGATAAGGCTCTGGCTTAAACATCCTGTTATGATAAACACCTTTTTCAAAGGGACCTTAAATGAGATATCCTTCATGCCATGGGACTGCAAAGGTTAGAAATGTTGCCTGCCTGGCTCAAGGTCTCTTGATAAACCCAACCTGTTTGAAGAGATAGTTATAAAGAAATACAACAAGCAAACAGAATGAATTATTCCTGGGCAAAAAGAAATGCTAGTTTCATGGACAACCCAGGGCAGCTCAGTTTCTTTGTCACCTTAATCCTACAAAAAAAGTTAGGCATGCGATCCAGTTCAGACCCATCATCACATTTAATTATCACAGAACCCCTTAACAAGGATGGAGCACAGAGTAGTCATAGGTTAATCTCTGGAGGCAACTGAGCTACAGGGAACCAATTTTCCTGGGAGTTTCCATAAATGCAAGCCAGACTCATGTGTATTTATGATGCTGAAAACTTAGCATAATAAAACACTTATTGATTATGGATGCGCCACTCAGCAGAATCAACAATGTGCCAAAGATAAATGAATGCTACGTTTAAAATGTAATGCATTAAGCACATAATGGGTTTTGTGAAATGGATTCCCAAGCTAGAGAATATATAAGAAGTTCAGGTCTCTGGGTCAGCTTTACTTCATAGAATTGTGGGGGGAGATCATTTAATTCTCCATTTTGGAAATTCCACAAATAAGGACAGTAACAGTAAGAAAGATAACTGGGGCATTTTTTGACAGAGAATGCCATTTAAGCAAAGGCGAGCTTTCTTCAATAACAATCTTTAGGCTTCAGAAGGTACACCATGGCTTTCTTGTGACAGTCAGATGATTTTCTATGAATATGTGGAAAAATAAAGACATTATTAAGCCTCCTCCATGGAACATCAGAAGGACTGAAACCGAGATGCTCCAGTTCTCTCTGAGCAGGGAATCAAGGAGTTCCCTTCCTGGGGTTCTCTTGCAAAGATTTGCACCCAGAAGGGAGGGATCTCTATTGGGTAGTTGGTCTAGTTCCCTCAATGATGGGTGGTGATGGATACAAAAAGAAGTATCCCTCCGTGTCCTGCCAAACCTAGCCTCAATCTATTGAACTTCCACAAAGTCTGCACACAAGCAAAGTAAGAATGATTTAAATCAGT